ACACACACACACACACACACACACACACACACAATATACGTTTATAGTTGATATATACAAATATCTATTAGATATAACACTGATATGTAATAGACATTAATATATATCAATCGTAAACATGTATTTTATATATATATATATATATATATATATATATACACATACATACAGGGTTAGGAAGTAACGCGTTACTTGTAACGACGTTACTATTTCATTACTTTTTTTTGGTAACTATTTGGTAACGCCATTACTTTTTTGTATCAGTAACAAAAAAGTAACAGCGTTACATATTCTTTAGTAACGAGTAACAAAATTCATTGTTACTTGTATCGTTACTTTTTTACTATAGTAGATTTTGTACACAGAACGCGACAACGCTTGCTATGCGACGAAAGTTTGCACATGATAAACAATTAATGTGCTGCTTTCCGTGAAGCCCATTCTACAATAAGCAATAAATCTTAAGTCATAATAAAATTGACCAATCATGGTCGACTATTAGAAGAATAATCCACTGTAATTGGTCAATTTTGTTGTAACCTAAAACTTATTGCTTATTGTAGAAAGCCTCTACAGCGTGGTCTACAATGAGAACTTAGCAATAAAATTTAAGCTTTAAACTCTAATCCGTAAGAAATTGTTTAGTCACAGTCAATTATTTTTCTTATAATTGACTGTGATTGGTCAACTTCTTAGAACTTAAAGCTTAAATTTTATGGTTTAAGTTCTCATTGTAGACCACGCTTAACCCTTTGCGACATACATTTCTCTATCAAATTAATTTCACAGACAAATATACCTTTAGGGGTTTTTAATAATCGCTGATTACGAATCCGAAGCCAGATTTTCAAAATTCAAAGTGGCGGATCCAATATGGCGGACGAATATTACAAAATTATAGTATTTGTATGAAACCTAGTATTTAATATTTTTTGGGTCGCTTACGAATCTGACCTCAGATTGTCGAAATTCAAAGTGGCATATCCAAAATGGTGGGCAAACATGTTAAAAAGTGGATAAAATATCATGAAAATCGTTATTCGACGGATTTTAGGGTCGTTAATTACGAATCGAATATCAAATTTTTAAAATTCAAAATATTTGATCCAATATGGAAGACCAAGAAATAAAAGAATGTTTAGATCTTCAAAATTAGTTGGCGGGAATCTTTTTGGCAGCTGATTATGAATCTAAAATCAAGAGTAAATTTTCTGATCCAATGTAGTGTGCCAAACATGTAAAAAATGAGTTTTTTCAAAAAATAGAAAATCCTGTGAAATCTCGTTTTAGCGTTACCCAGAGCTAACGATGCTAATTTTGAAAATTTGATATTCGATTCGTAATTAAGGACCCTTGTAAAAAACAGTCGAGTAACGATTTTTATGATATTTTATCCATTTTTAAAATGTTTGTTTTTCATTTTGTGTCCGCCATTTTGAATTTGGAAAATCTGAGGTCAGATTCGTAACCCATTAGCGACCCAAAGATCACTAGATACTAAGTTTCATGCAAATAACATAATTTTCTATAATTCGTACGCCATATTAGATCCGCCATTTTGAATTTTAAAAATCTGACTCCGGATTCATAATCAGCGACCCAAGAAACCCTTAAATAGCAACTTTCATAGAAATCTGATAATTTTTTAAAAATTCGTCCGCCATATTAGATTCACCATTTTGAATTTTGAAAATCTGATTCCGGATTCGAAATGAGCGACCGCAAAAACCCCTTAGACCTTATTTTCAGTTTATTAATTATTATTGGTTAATCACAATTGCATTTATTGTATAAAAAAGCAGTATTTTTGAAGTTTGTTTCTTTATAAAATACATTTCCTCAACAATAGGAAAGTTTTCAAAATTTTTTAATAATAACTGATGTTCTACATAACTGATAATGTGCTTTTTACTGTACAGATGTGTTGAAAACTATATAAAAAGTATAAAAAAAACTAAGGGAAAAAAGGTGTCCAATATACGGTGCACTATGCCGGAAAGGGTTAGGGACGCCGCACACGAATTGACATAACATTAACGTATCGTAAGAATTAACCAATCACTTTGAGTATCCTTAAATTGAAGGTCGCCATTTTTATGAATATTCGATTGTAATTAGTTCATTTTTACGGTACGTTTTACGATACTGTTATGTCAATTTGTGTGCGGCGCCCCTTAACCCTTACGAATCTGACCTCAGATTGTCGAAATTCAAAAAGGCTCGCAATCGCAAGATCGCAAGGAAATTGACCAATTATAATTGATTATTTTTCGATCGCAAGAAGAACAATCGACTATGACTAGTTAATTTCTTTGCGACCTTGCGACTAATGTAGAATGGGTTTTATGTCGTTATACAAAAATGTGCTTCCCGCTCAAATATCATATATTTTGTCTTTATATATGTGTAATTTATGTACTGTCTCTCTTACTATTCGTTTTATAAGCCGATTTTAACTCTTTTTTACAAAAGTAACGGAAAATAACGATTTTTTATCGTTATTTTTCAAATAACGATAACGCGTTACTTTTTAGAATCAGTAACGAGTAACGGTAACGAGTTACTTTTTACCGTAAGTAACGGTAACGGTAACGCGTTACTTTTAAAAAGTAACGTTCCCAACCGTATATATATATATATATATATATATATATATATATATATATATATATATATATTGTGACGTGACAATTTTTTATCGTCTGTAACGTCCCAGCCTCAGAAATTTTAATTTTTCACGACCACTACAGTATCTAAATTCCGCGACAACCAAAGGCCGATTTGTACTAATCTGAGACATGAAATACGTATACACGTGAACCAAGTAGTACTTAAACTCTTCGAGGCGCTACACGAGAAGTCACGATTTTGGAAGGCAAGGAAGGAATATATTGTAAACAAAATTGATTTACAGCAGGAAATAATTAGGCATTAAGAAGTATGTTAAAGACAACCCGAAGTCCACAATATAGTGAGCTCTTGTAAAATAGACCCTAGTTAACCATTATAAATTTTATTTTAGCCAAAGCAATAAACCTTGCTAATTCACTTGTTAGAAACGGCCAAAGATAAAATCAAGATTATTGTGGAAATGAAGTCTTATGGAAACAACACTACGATGTAGCAACACAACATGGCCCTAAACCAACCTGTCCCTTCAGGACGAGACCTTTCGAAACTTCAAATGGCATTTTGAGCCCTTTCCCTTCATTTTATCGCGAAGACTTGACTAGCCCTTATAAAATGTACTAACTCTGAACTACCCATATAACCACTCAAAGGCCATATATGACGAAAGAATTAGTAGGAAATTCAAATAATATAAGAACACGCGCGAGCGAACTCGCGCAGACACGAATAAACGCGTTCAGCATGACATCATCGCGATGCTATGCATCACACCACCGTGTATAACGTCACCCGACTACCCGAGCGCATCAAAAGATAAGCCGAAGCGCAGCGGCAAAAACACCGACTCGAAACACTATCTCGCCACCGGATGCGGCGCTGCGAGCCGACCGCTGTCCGAAGCGGCCGAGGCTGGCTAAAGCTCCCGCTCAACACCTATAAGAACCGTGCTCCCACAGCACGCAGTGCTTACTGCTCAGTAATTCTTCTAGCTTAGTTCGGCTTAATCAGTTGCCATTCTGTTCGAGCTTTTGTTCGGGAAAATCTCTGAGTATACCCTCCGACCCGTTGCCTCAGGCATTTGTTCGGTGATGCTGATATTGCGAAGCATCCGACCGCTCATCTGCGACCCCTTGCGAACCTACACGGACCAGCACGGGCGTGTTCTTACCTGACTCATCATGTCTTTGCAAGATCTCGACCATGAGTTTTATTTTACTTATTTCCCCTACATTAATCCGACACTAGCCCGGTAGGCCTTTAGCAAGCACCTATCGTCAAACTTTAATTTCGTTGATTCACTACGTTAATATTATAGACATAACTTAAGAATATTGTATTAACCATTATTACTACTCTACTACATTATATCACAATTGAGACGAAATATATATATTATATTCAGATTCCATAATCATATAAGTCAAATTCATCCCTACCAACATTAGATATTATTATTCCATAATCCATAAGGACGATCTACTATTCCCCCCCCTCCCCGTTCCTAACACACACACACACACACACACGTATATGCACACGTATTTCTGCAGAGCTGCGGTAGTCCTAGTGTCTACCATAAACGCTATCGCTTTGGGAAGCTTTAACTAGCCCCCAATAATACTTCTTTCTTTCCCTCTCTGCTTCAGGTAGCTTCAGGTAGCTAACAGCTCCTGGCAGATTCTTTTGCTTATAACACAGATTTCTGATAGTTCTAGGCAGCGTCTCGAACGCTCTAGAACTTAACTAAGATACAGCGAATTGCAGAGTAGCGCGTGATGAGGATATCCTGAGCGCAGGATTTCTGAACAAGATTCTGACAGTGCTCCTTAATTGTCGAGCCTTAATAAGAAAGAAACACAAACCAGAAACTACCCAGTGATTATCCATACCTTTCCATTCAACAAACCAGAACCCATCTCGATCGTTCTTATGGACTTTTGTTTTCATTGACTCCTACAAACAATAAGATTTCCTGAATATATATCTTCAATACGTTAGATGCCAAAGAGAAGTGGCAAGAAGTATCGGGAGAAACTGCAGAAACTGTTCTCTCGTCAATCGACGGCGCGTGGCCCCCTGAACCTCCGCATATCCCGCAACCTTCTGATCGAGGGTACTTCATTATTTCATCTATCAATCACAACATAGAACTTCGTGCGCCGATATTAGAAATAAATAAGAAGAAATCATCTCGTGTAGGACTCAAGACAAATGACAAAGAAACTCCGGCGGTAAATCCAGAGTCCGCGTCAGATCTATCTAACAACGAGCGAGCCATAATTGATGCCTTAATGCTCACATTAAAGGACGAATAAAGCACTCAGTAAATATAAATTTATTTTTTATTCAATTCATACATTCCTCGGTCGGATATAAAATCAGTAATAGTCATCTATCACTTCATTATAATTACATTATCCTTTACACGATCACATTCACTTGAAACTTCCTCTCGGTGCACGGCTCTCCACCTTCCCAGACTATTGTTGGTATGCAGGCAGGCCTAAAACAAAGAGAGAGCAAACGTTTCGTTAATCTGAGTGACCAAACGGGACGTTACACCTCCAATCCTTTCCGTTCTATATATCTTTCCATCGCCTTTATTATCCTCATCATTCCTACTTCCTTCTTTGCCACATTGTCCGCGTACGCCAGCGAATCTTCCTTCCCTTTACCTGCACTCCTTTCCATCCTTCCTTTTCTCATCCAAATCCGCCAGAAGCAACGTGAAAAGGCATGGGCTCAGAGGACACCCCTGTCACCCCTGATGATATCCATATCATCCTTTTTATCCTTCAACTGAAATAATGAAAAAATGAGGTTATTTAATTGTAATTGTATAAGGTACGTTATATATATAGGGTGAGTTATCTGAATCTATCACCTCCAATAACTCGTTTGTGTGGCCAGGAATCGAAAAAAGTTTCATATAAAAGTTGTAGGGTTTCGAGGGGGAACCAAAATGGCGTACCTTTCAACTTTTGATTTTGACCGAAAGTGGGTTACTTCAACCGGAAGTGGTTTTTTTAAAATGGAAACCCCCCTTTTTGACACCGGAAAATGAAAAAGCGGAAAATTTTACGTTCAGATATAACTTTGGCTGTTTTAAAATTCTCAAAATGGCGGACGAAATTTTTAGCCGAAATTAATAGAAATTACTACTCTT